TCAGATCCGGGGTTAGGGGATTATCCATGGTATTTCGGACAGCAAGGGCTCTTCCATAGATATGCTGCCAACTGTCCTGGCTAGGATGGGAGTTTGCGAATCCTTGGAGAGATAAGTTTGTAGGCAGAGCATATGATGATGGTGCGAGGGATCAGCCGATGGTTTCCCGAGGTCTAAATTACCCTCTTTCAGATAGCAGGTATCGGCATTTGTTCTAAAATGGCCCGGTTTGGATGAGAAGGTCATGGTCGTCGTGGGTAAGATGATGCATGCAGCCATGTATACCACTGATTTTATGGGATAATAAACATGTTTCCTTGAGGTGTATACCAGCATTTAGACCTGGTGTTGTGTGATAACTGCTGTCGTGTCCAGCGAAAGGAGGGTCCATGTGGAAAACAAGAGAGCGAATGTGTGTCAAATATGAAACTCGACAGCGAGGTGAGAGTAGATGTATATCTTCGTCTCACCGACGGATTTCCGTTGACATGATGCTATGCATATTGCAGAGAGCGCTGACCGAAGATCCCTTTGCATTTATTCTATGCTGGGGGTTTCCCAAAACGGGACAGGCTTGGCCTGGATTTGGGGAAGTTGTAAAAGAAGGATAAAGCGGGAGAGGCTGAGGATGAAGGGATTCCCTTGGCACAAGGCAGAGTCGCTGCGGAGCACGAAATGGTTCTGGGCGAAAAGGGGACCCCAGAAATATAAACAAATATTCTAATGAGTAGGGGGAAAGACTGAGAGAGCAGAAGGCGAGGAAATAAATGAAACAGATCGAGTCGGGGGTGGGCGGCGAAGAGGATTGAGGTCGAGACTTCCCATTTCAGGGCGACACACGGACCACTTTTGATGAGTTGGCAAATCCTCATCTGGGCGCACGCATCCGCAGAGGCCCAGGAACGTACTGTAGGGAGTAACTATTGCCTGCAGCCAACCTAGCAGCAGTGATGTCTGTGTACGTGTAGCAGTAGACGGACAGGCATTTAGCCCCGAGCGGTCCTTGGCTGGACTTCTCTCCACTCTCGTCTGCCTTGTCGCAAGTTGGGTAGCGAACACTCGTCTGATGTAGCCTCACTAGGGTGTTGTGTCTTGTCCGCTCTTTGCTCTTTTTTCTTACCTACTGTTGTCCGCCAGTTCTGTGCCAGTGTGTGAGTGTGTGTGTGCTTGTACGTGTGTACACGAGAGAGAGAGTGTGTGTGTGCATGTGTGTGCAAACCAGGTGTTGGGGGGTGGATGGATGGATACCGTAGTTCAGCAAGCAAACTGGCGTATAATTGTAAATTGCTCCCTGATCAAAACTTGTCGGTCCACTGGTCCCGAGGGAGCGAGATCGCTATAAAACAATTGAACAAAGAGGGGAGCAGACTGGACTGCCGGGGAGGGAGGGTGGTGGTTCCTTTTTTGCCTTTGCTTGCAGCATGCCAACGCATTGCGCAGGGAACGGCGCGACCCAGCCGAAAGCTATCTCACCGGCCAAACCTAGGCGAGTCACCGGGGGACCTGGAGACTGACATTCCGTGCCGTGATCATTGTAATTTTGTATACGAAGTCGTGGTGTGGCGGGCTCGCATTATTTGCGGCAGTGCCGGTTGTCCAAGAAAGAAATTTTGGGGGCTCTGGTACAACGTGAAAAGCTGGTTCCCCCAAATGGGAGCGAGTCCAGCAAAGTGGCAGGCACGACTCAGGTACCTACTGGTATCGGGCAGGAGCAAGTGCGAGTGTTAGGTACTGGGTAAGACAAGAACAGGGCAGACATGCATCTCACTCAGCCCAGACAACGGTAGAAAAATGAAAGGAGGAAGCATTGGTCAGGGACGTTCCCAAAGCGCCCACTGGTCTGCCAGCACTCGCACAGCGAGGCAAGGCAAGGCAAGGCTGACGACGATGGGCTTGTGCTGATTGAAAGACAGACCGAGCCAGGTGGGCCGGTGACGTCCAAACGGGATGACCTTGCGAAGGAGGGGAAGGAGGGAACGGCATTGATGCGCAGGCAGGAACACGTCGGTCGTAGTTGCTGCCAGCAGATCAGAAACGAATGGATCGCTGCACACGCAAGGCAATTGGAAATTAAAGGAAGACGCTGCTTTTGGATGTGCTTCATTCTCCGTCCATGTATATGTAATCCGGCTGTTAAGCAGCAGTGGGTTTCTGGCAGCGCGGCTCGAGTCCAATTTGCCCTAGAGTGGATGCCAGCTCTTCATTGGAGCGCTGGCCGATTGACTTGGACGAATCGTCGACCAAAGACGGCTTCATGTGAATCACACTAGATATTCTCTTGCCCCGTCCGAAAACAACGCACGGTCGATTTCGAGCAAAGTGGTAAGATTCGATTCTGAAATGTGCTAATTCCCCCGCCGACTTGTGTCTGCCCCTCACTGATGCCCACCTCCAGTTTGATGCTGATCATGCCAAGTGCAACTGGGTCTCGCCATCACAAACCTCAGCTCGCTTGTTCCTGGAACGGCTTTCTGCTCCCCGAACCTTGATTCCTCACGCGAAAACTACCGCTAGACTAACCTCCCCATCCACTCGGAATGGCAGCACCAGGGAGGTGTGGCCGATCGGTGGTCCAGCAAAGCAAATGGAGTCACTTGACTCGTTCTGAGTGAGCAAATGACTGCCTCGAAAACAAGTCTCTATTATTGCTTCCCAACGCATATCCGCCGCCAGAAGCCAACACTATAGGTCGGCCGAGAAATAGCATATGCACATGCGCCACACCATCTTAGAATTATGTACTGTCGAACTACACTCAATTCGCTACGTCCAGGGTAATAATGGCCAAGCAGAAGCGAACTCGAAATACTACTACCGGCTAGATGCTTTAAGCCTTCTCCACAATCGGCTTTGAGGGCCCCAAACCCCTCGTAAAGGGTGGCATGGGTCGTCTCCACCATCGTCGGCTCTCGAGTCTAGTCTAGGTGTTTATGGCAGGTTACATGCCTCTTGGAAGGACAAACGTTTCTCCAGGTTCCCAACAGTCATGGTGGGCCTGCTTGCGTTGCGCTCCTCGCCATGGGCCCGTGTATCTCGCTTTGTATGGCTACCATCACGGGCTGGTAAGCTATCGATTGCGACTCGAGCATTCACAACATCAAGAGCAGTCATGTCTCTCGAAGATAAGAGCCGCAACACTTGGTTAGGCTCCAAAGGAGCCGGGGCATTTGATTTGAGAAGTACGCCAAGATCCCCAAGCCCCCCTCAAACCCCCATCCGTTGGGAAGAATTGGAAGGCCTAATGGAAATTGGAATCCAGGCGATACCATGACGACGCCGACACCGGCTATGCTTGCGGCGGTACAGTCTTGCACCTTGCGGGATGACGTTGTCCAAGAAGACGCCTCTACCAATGACCTCGAGTCCCACTGCGCGGCACTGGCAGGTAAAGAAGCAGGATTGTTTGTTCTTTCGGGAACCATGGGCAACCAGTTGGCGTTGCGTACGAACCTTACGCAGCCGCCTCATGGGGTTCTGTGTGATCACCGCTCGCATATTGTGCAATATGAAGCAGGCGGGTACGGTTATTGCCCCTCTCCTGGCCTCGATGACTATTGTCTAGGATTCATTTCCGGCTAACTTATTCATTAAAATTACACAGTGTCGCTGTATTATGCGGCGCTTTGGTCAAGACTGTCGTTCCTAGCAATGGTATTCACCTCACTCTCGAGGATATACAAGCCAATGTAGTGCTGAGTGACGACGTTCACGCTTGTCCAACAAGGCTTATCAGTCTTGAGAACACTCTGAATGGCATGATAATGCCGTTGGATGAGGTTCGCCGCATCTCAAAGTTTGCACGAGAGAACGGTATCAAGATCCACTGCGATGGTGCCCGGCTCTGGGAAGCTGTAGCGGCAGGAGCAGGCTCGCTCCCTGAGTTTTGTTCATATTTTGATACTGTCAGTCTTTGCTTTTCCAAGGGTCTCGGGGCACCCGTCGGGAGTGTTTTAGTGGGTACAAAAGAAGCAATAAAGCACTCCCGTTGGGTTCGCAAGTCCATCGGGGGCGGTCTCCGGCAGCCAGGAATGATCACTGCAGCAGCTCGGGTTGCCGTTGACAAGACCTTTGGGACAAAACCAGACGGCAGTGATGGGCTGCTTAAGCATACCCACGTGTTCGCGAAGAAGGTCGAGTCTCTCTGGAGAAGTTATGGTGGTGAGCTCGTCCACCCAGCTCAAACCAACATGGTCTGGCTTGACATCGACGCGGCTGGCTGCAGTGTCAAGCGTTTCATCGAGCTGGGTGAAAAATTCGGGCTCTCATTATGGGGCGGGAGGCTCGTACTACACTATCAGGTTGCACAGAATGGTGATGAGGTGCTCCAACGGCTGGACAAGATCTTTGCCCAAGTGTTTCAGGACAGCAACAAAGAATCAGTCAAGCCTCGAATCGGCGAGGCTAGCATGTACGCATCTAAACTTTGAATACATTATATTTCGATCTCGCTTTCTTCAGAAACTTGCTTGCTGGGTATGTATAGTGCAAAATTGTTTGTTTTATATCTACCTTCACCAATTCCACCCTCATCTTATAGAATGACTATTTGTGTCATCAAGTATATGATAACAAGCCAGGCTGTGAAAAGAACATAATCGCTTCCATTTCCCAGGTTTCTTGCTCACATGCCGTTGAGCCCCCCTTTCATACACTACCTATTTTTTCCTCCCTGGTTCATCACGCACACGAAGGCTTTCATGACCATGCGATCTATAGAGTTGGTAGAGGCAGTGAATAGCTGGCGTCTAAGAACTGATTCACGATCATGCTATGAAAGACTCAACTATAAACCCATGATGTCCACCTCCGAAGAGAGTTGTTACCGCATTCCCCATTCGCTTTTCAGACATCTATTTGCGCCTACCGTGTTCCAACGTTGATCAGTTGGCTTATATCACAAGGAAAAAAAATAGAAAAAAAGCCTGGCTGGCCCGCCGCTCCTCTCTCACCACTTGGTATTGATATTCATCACCATCTGCATACTTTCGCTCGCCGCCACCATGTGCACTTTCCGCCTCCTAGTCGAAATGTGCTACTGCAACGACATCGAGTGCAGTCAAATCAACCCCGATGTCCAAGACGACAAGTTCGACAACGTGGAGTCGGGCGGCCACGTCATCCGCGTGGTCGAATACTATCGTATCTCCGGGGTGTGCATGGACTGGTTCATCAACGAGGACCCTGACCGGATGATGGTGAAGCAATACGGCATGGACCCGCTCAATGGCAACAGCAAACAGGACTGCAAGAACAAGGTGTTCAAGTACGATAAGGAGAGGTACCATTCGGAATCCGTTTGCGAGGCTTGCGTGAAAAACTGCACGCAGCCGGGTCAGGAGAAAGAGAAGTCTGAGAGCCCTGAGCTTGAATGAGTTACTTGATTGGATATTCTTGTTTGGCTCTGCCAAGGCCTCTTTCTTTGTGTGCTTGTTGGTATCATGTTTGGAAAGTCTTTTTGGAGTAGGAAACTGGTGTCCATGAGGAAGAGTCATAGAGGACTGAGGCTACAGAAAAGTTAGAGTTGCTTTTGTTGATACAGATTATCATCTAGAAAATGAAGTGAGATTCACATTCATATTGTTCGAGTCAAATCATTCTGTGACTAAGGTTGCGTGACGAGGCAGAGGCGCGGTCAAGAGGCCCCTACGTAAACTTTTTATCACATGAAAGAACACAAGTTCATTGTTCTGGCCTGCTCTTTAGGAAGAACAGCAACATGGCCAAGTTTCTTGAACATCTTAGTGGCTTTGTTCAACCTCTGGGAGATGATGCGGCTCTCCACTTTGTAGGTTGCTTGCATGTAGGCTGCTTGACAAGGGTATTATGGACGGAAGAGCTGAGCTTTCCGGTATACGGTCACACTCAGTGATTGTAGTTCCTTTTCAGTTTTGTTTGTTTCGGATTGTTACTTGACTATGTAATGCGTTACGCGGCTCACAGCTGCTCCGAGTGAGTTCAGAGACAATCCTTTGTAGTCTGCTTGCGAACAGCTCCTGGCCTTAGGCTTCATTTATTCATATTTATTGAGCCCATTACCTTCCTGATTTCCTCTAGATAATCATCTTTGCGAAATTCCAATTCCGAAAGAAAAATAAGATACCACAACCATGTTCCTCTTACGGAACCCAAACCTGGCAGTGCTTGTAACCGGTGCGACCCTCGCGGCCGGCCAAGCCGTTTTCAACTGGACCATCATCACACCCAGCAAGGAGCTGGTATGGCACAGCTGCATGACGCAGTTCGAATGCGCCCGCCTGCTGGTGCCGTACGACTGGCAGGACAGGTCGGACGAGAGGTTCATGACCCTTGCCATACAGAAGCTGCCCGCCGTCGTCCCCGAGGACGACCCTACGTTTGGCGGCAGCATCTTCGCTAACCCCGGGGGACCGGGCCACTCGGGCACATTGATGATCCAGTCGGCTGCCGAGTATCTGCAGCAGACCGTCGACAAACCCGGAAAGAGGCACTATGAGATCGTCAGCTGGGACCCCCGAGGGATCGGTCACAGCGTTCCCAAGGTTGAGTGCCTCCACAGGCCCTACGATCTTAGCTACTATAATCTCGAGAGTCGCGGCTACCATGCGCTTGATATGGGTCGTACTTCAGTCGCTTACGCCTTGGGTATATTTCAGGGAATGGGCCTCAAGTGTAAGTGGGAGATGGACAACGGTCTAGATGTCCTCCCCTATCTTGGCACAGTCGACGTGGTGGATGATTTGAAGCACATGGTTGAGCTCGTTGAGATTTCTCGCCGTGGGAATATGAGCTCCAACAACACGACTGATGCCCGGCTGCAGTTCTATGGATTCTCATATGGTACTGTCATCGGCCAGATGTTTGCTTCTCGCTATCCTGGCAACGTTGGTCGTATTGCTGTTGATGGCGTGGTAGATATAGAGGACTATATGGCCACTCCTGTAAGTAACCCCCTCTGATCTTCTCCAGTGATCTTTCTCAAAGTCATTCACCATTTTGCAAAATCTAACATGTGTGTGTAGGGCTGGCTCACATCAACAGCAAACATGGATAACTGTGCGGACCACTTCTTCAACCTCTGCCTCAAAGCAAAGACCAAATGTGCGCTGTGCAAAGAGGGAGACAAGTGCGCCAGCGAGATCGAAGCCCGCGCCGCGTCATTCATCGAGGGCCTCGACCACAAACCCATTGGAGCTGTCATGTCTGACGGCCGCAGGGCTGTGATCACCGGGCATGACTTCCGCCTCTTGTTCGGCACCATTGCGTATAACCCCGTGCCCAGCTACGAAGTCTTCGACCTGACCTTGGCCTCCGCGATGCAAGGAAACTACACATTGCTGCTAGAAGCCCTTACCCAGATGGGTGAATACCCTCCCCTCGACCAAGCATGCAAGGCGCCCATCTCCATGGACAACTCGCTCGACACCATGGCTGCCGTCTACTGCCTGGACGCCGACGACCTCACAGGCAAAGACCTCGACTACTGGACAGCCTACGCGGACAAGATGGCATCCACCTCAAAGTGGTTCGGCTTCTCCATGGCCCAGATCCAGTTCGCCTGCTCCAGCTGGCCCGTCCGCCCCAAGAACCGCTTCACGGGACCCTTCAAGTCGCCCCCGGCCACGGCCGCGCTGGCCAGGGACCGACCCGCGGCGCCCATGCTCTTCATCAGCACGCGGTTGGATCCTGTCACACCCCTGGCCTCGGCGCGAAACATGCAGATGCGGCACGCCGGCGCGGGACTGCTGATCCAGGAGTCCAGCGGGCACACTGCGTTCAACTCGGCGCCTAGCCGGTGCCGCGACGAAACTATTCGCGAATTCTTTGACAAGGGCGTCGTGCCTGATGGTGAGCGGGTCTGCAAGGAGGATTGTGGACCGTGGGATGTCGGATGCTCCGTCTTTAAGCCCGAGAACAAGACTGTGGCCGGTGCGGGAGCTGTCCGCCGGAGGGATGGTGGTGATGGTGATGGCAGGTCGGACTCTAGTCCTCTGACCTTGTCGTCACTGCGGATCCTGTAGATGGTATTTGGATAGGGTGAACTTGCCGCTTTCAGTACCTACGTACGTAGATATCAGTGATCTACAATGGTTTCATTTCTCACTCTGCCCATCACTTGCCAACAGTTCACGACTTATAATTCGAAGTTGACTATGTAGCCACGCAAAGCTCAGTGGCACTTGATCCAGCGAACGCAAGTCTAGATCATTGGCGAGGAGTATGTTGCTATTTGCAAATTTGATTTGACGACAAGGCACTACTCTACGATAACAACCAATACTTAATTTCTTCTGATTAAACATTTTGTCGCAAAGGGTCTGGCCAACATTTCCACCAATAAAGGGCAGTACCCCCCGAGTAGCTGAAATTACACATGGCACACAAATTTCATGTTTTCATGTAGACAAAGGCCTTCTCGACGCATTAATAGGGCAATAATAAATTATTCTACAATATTTAGCTCAATATTATACTTATTGATGGGTTAATTGTCTTAATATTGTGTTGAAATTCAACGTTAGAGGTTCCAGGTGTGCCATGTTTTATGTCAGTCACTTGCCATGGTGCCCAGCAAAGGCACCCTTCCAATCTACTGCTCTAAAAGGGTAATATATAGGAGTTATGGGGCATACTGGACTGCATATTGCATTCGTTGATCATTGGTGCCGCGAGCACGCGAAGTTCACTATTAAAATTCGTGTAACCAACGGCAGACACGCAGCCAACAGCACTATGAAAAGAGCAAGAAATCCGGTGTACGGCTCGGAAACGAGAAAATGACCGGTTGGAGAGTTTCATTGCCAGTTTTCTTGTAGGATCTGACCTTGATGTTTATTGTCTTGGGCTGACCAACCCTTCGCTTGACTGCACCTTGTTTTGAGCTCACATCTTAGTTCTCGATGGTTTCTTCTCTTTATATCCTAGACAACAGGAGAATCAAAGGATACAATGGCAGGACGCGGCCTAGCGTGTAGCCCCTCCCTGTCGGACCTGCCACCTGAGATCATGAGCAAGGTCTTCTCATCCCTTGCGGGCACACCATCCATCCAAGCCGTTCTCAAGTCTTGCATAACGTTCTACCACCTAGAGATACCGGGTCAACGATATGATGTGTATCGGCGCGGGGCTCCGCAAGTTGGTCGCGCCCAGGAAGCTTACAGTAAGCATGTAATGCCTGGCTGGATGCTCGCAGCTGAGCCGGAGAACAACGAGAATATATATATACCTCTCGAACTTGAGAGCACCCTGAGGCTGATTAAATGCCTCCCAGAAAACCTAAGATACCTCAAGATTTACTCCTGTAGCGCTGCAGCGCACAGCCAGGCGTCAGAGTTGTTTCATGTAGTCGAGCAGAGCCGCCACTTTTGGTTGGCACCTCAGCGAGATCTATTTTCTCTTCATCGGCTAGCTAGTTAAGAGGCCCCCTCCGCTATACTACACTGCTCCCAACGTTCGCCTCAGAATCGGTCAACAGACTAAAACCGAATACCATCATGAACTAGGACATCCGTATACCGATAGACACATTGTAGAACCCGGAGCCCGCAACGCGACTTCGCTCGTCCACGCTACCAATCCGCCGAGGAAGCACAAGGCAGTCCGTGGCCCGGTCAGGCCTTCAAGGAACGCTTTCAACTCTAATGATGACCCGTGAACGCGATGAGGACGCACTGGTGTTTTTATATGGATATGCATGTATCAATAGTTCCCAGCCCCTAAGCTCTGATTTTTTACACGATGCAGTGCCTCCTTTAAGCGAATCATCACGCAGAAATATCATATAAATTCTAGAGTCGAATAGGACGTCGGAAGTATGCCGTTCATGAGGTCCTCATGCCTAGAGAGACGATCACAGTGATGCCGCATCTCGGTTACGCTTATATGGGCTAAATGAACATAATAGCAGCTTAATCATAACACAGTAGGTAAACATATGTTTAATTTAGAGTAGGCTTCTAAATAGTACTGCCCTTGAGCGGGGGATCCGCTGCTTGGCTATCAGGTCAGGCCAAGGTTAATGTCATGCGCCTGACTGAACCAACATACGTTGTCGCGCAAAGACTGTGGCATTAAGAACTACATTAGGTTTTATCTAAGGTATATCACAGGATTTAGGCCTGCATTTCAATCCGTTAATAGGAAGAGGTCCGGCTTCCAACAATACCTCTTTGCCAGCGTCATGCAACTGTCAGATATCACAAACGTCAAAGGTTACAATACCGCCGCTAAAAGAGGAATGGAGGATATGATACGTTGAAAACATCAGTTGAGCTCTTGCTTTGGTAACCAAGACACATTGGGCGACTGGCCTATAGAAAATATCCCCTAATGTAAGCAGTATGCACGGCGTATGCAAGAGGGCAGAAGTAGCTTGCCTACGATTATAAAAGGAATATACTTTACGCCCTTGAAAAGGAAGAAGATAATTGGCTAATGCAGTACTATTTTTACGTTTGTGATGGCAAAAAACCGCACATTGGTAAGACTTATGTGCAGCTCACCATACAAGGAAACCAATGCGAGGGCTGTGATTCGGCGCCAGGCGTAGTTCTTAAGCCACATTATCCTCAAATGATCATTTAGAGGCTAGGTTAGGAACCTTTGTAGAAGCTGAACACTCGATGATCCTACATGTGGTGTTTATCTGCAAGTAGGCAGAAAAGATACAAGCACAATTGGCGCTTGTTTTCCCCTCCCCTCTTCCCTTTCTCTCTTCATATAATCTGACTACAAGGCTTTATTGTTTGTCCCCTCTCTTTTGTCATAAGGGCATCTAAATCGATATTTTAGTCATGAGCTTCGTGTAAGAAAAGCCCTGATCACCGGCCTACGTCAAAATGAAACTTGTATCTGGCTTAGCAACCAAGGTGAAGGCCAGCAACTTGACGAAATTCTTTTCTGGTCATAGAGACCAAATTGGTGTGCGCTCAGTTCTCTGGCAATGGCGTTTGGAGTTTACCGTCGTCCTCATATCATGCGCGCTCCTGGGAGGCATCTTCGGAGTTTTACATCACAATCGTGGCCAAGAAGTGGCAGGTTGGTCTTTATCTGGGATGAGCCTAAACACATTGATAGCTCTACTATCAGCGTTGCTCAGAGCCCACATTCTTACTATTGTTGAAGAAGGTAAAGCAGAATGAACATAGTAAACCACATCTTATCTGATACATTCAAATAGTCATTAGCCAGCAAAAATGGATTTGGCAGCTCACGCCTCGACCAATAAGCCACCTCGACTTCATCGATCAAGCCAGCAGAGGGCTCTGGGGTTCAATCATACTTCCAGCTCGGCTCCGTACATGGTTGTAAGTCTCTTCCTTTAGCTTCAATTCCATAGGTGCAGAAGTGAAACTGATCCGAAGTTTCAGCTCTTACATCTACGTTGGATGCTTCATCATGGTACTATCTCTAGGCATTGGACCATTCACGCAGCAGGCATCCAGTACCCAACCTTGCATCAAGACTGTCACCGGCGCTTCAGCCACAATACCTTATTCCTGGACCGGTCTTCATGTATTCAAAGGTGGAAAAAGTTATGTTTCCCCCTGGATGGTGGATACGGGGTATTCTGAGGCTATTGTTCGTGCATCTACAAACAGCAGCTCAGTGAGCTCGGCGTCACTGCTTCAGGGTTGTACTACAGGGAACTGTTCATTTCCTGCCGTCCGTGGAGATATTGCCCTTTCGACGCAAGGCATTTGTTCGCGGTGTATTGACACTACGAGTTATGTCAGATCAGGCAACTCGACTGGGGTCATACTACCTAAAGAAGCGGGCTCCCTATACGTTGGAACTGTTGGATGGACGTCGAACACCATCGAATCAAAGGTTTCGGATGACCTGGAATGGGCGCGAGCCGATTTTGATGACGATTTACGAGACACTTTCGAAGTATCCATTCTCAACTACACGTTTCTGGGCTTGACATCAGATGGTTGTCAATTTGAAAATAGAACTACAGCGATTAAGAATTGTATTCGGCCCCCTGCCATCAAGGAATATTCGATACGAGGCTTTAACGTCTACTCGGCAGCTTGCACGTTTTACTTTTGCACGAGGCATCATAAAGTTGACGTGAGAAGTGGTGTATTAACTGAAACGCTCATCACCGACACTCCTGGGTTTTTTCAACCTGTCGGCACCCCCCGGTTCGGAAGAAATCACGTCTGGAAGCCAGTTTGTGACGTTGACTCTCAAACTTTGGATCTCACATCAGCAAGGACCATATCTGTTGGCAACGAGTCAGTTCAGGTTGAGTTGCGTGGACCAGGAACCGAAAAGGTGGATATTCCTTGGACCGCAAATTGCACTGCATACGTAGGCAACATGGCAAAGGCCGCCATTAGGACCGCATTATTTCTTATTGAAGGCGATTGCCGATATTCGTTCAAGGTCGAAAATCTTGATACTTTGTCAGAACGGGTCGACTTCCTTCGATGCGATCCGTGGAATATTTATGGCCTGTTGAGCGGCGGCCTTGCGTCGTTTTCTACAACTTCCGAGACCATGAGCAGAATCGCTACTTCAATCAGCGACCGTATGCGTGAAAAATCAGCCAAGAATAATTTCAGGGCCGATGCTCTCTCAGGACCTGAAGCTGATCAGCAAGGCGGTTACATCAAAGGCGATGTGCAATATACTACAATCTGTACAAGATTCCAATGGCGCTGGCTTCTTGGTCCTGCTTTACTTCTGCTTATGGCAATTGGATTCTTTATTCATGCTGTAACTCGATCCGTCATTCGACGCGGTCACGAACCGCTTTGGAAGAGCTCTATACTCCCTGCCCTGTATTTCAATCCAAATCCTCAAGGTCAAGGGAGCAAACACAAGTTATCGGAACTTGAGAAGGGGGCAAAGGGTAAGTTTGTCGCCTTATCCATAACGAGTGAGGGCAAATGGGAACTAGTAGATGATTTAGACGAAGTGAGTGGAAGTGGCCAATCCGACCAGAGCAATGAGGATGAGGTAGCCCTTATGGACTTGCCACCACCTAGAGCACAAGAAGGGGATGATGCAAGCAGATAACAAAGTGATAGCTATAAGATTTAGATGTAAGAGCTGAAAAGCTTCTCTGGTTAATACGAGGTTTACTTTTGCCTTGTCCCAAAACCCTGCCCAACTATCAACTCTCCTACGACACAGTGAGCGTTCGGACCTTGATTGATCAGGCATCAGTCTTTGTTTTAGACAACATTTACCAAATGGCACGAGTCCTTTACTGCTGCCTATTTCCAACAGGCAGCCAGAAATCCATACTAAATACTAAAATAGCTGAAAGCTGCCGCTGTTGATGAGGTTCCATCCACCGATCAACACCCCTGCCTAAGTCCCAATCGCCAATCGCTTATCCCCCACCTCGTCGCAATTGTACCACCAAACCCCCACCAAAATAAAGACAACCCATCTCATCACGCCAATAAAACAAAACCAACATCATCTCAACACAAAAAAACATACAATCCTCCCTCACGATGCCCCGGCGCCTCTCCCGCGCCTCCGCACCAGGCCCAACCGCCCCCTCCCTCCCCGCAACCCTCGAATCCCTCCCCTCTGCCCTCCGCGACCCGACCCTCCCCCTCCCAAAGCTCATCATCTTCGACCTCGACTTCACCCTCTGGCCCTTCTGGGTCGACTGCCACGTCTCCCCGCCACTCAAGCCCACAAACACCCAAAACTCCTCCGCCACAGACCGCCTCGGCGAGTCCTTCGCATTCTACCCAGACGTCGCCCCCATCCTCCACGCCCTCCCTCACCTCGGCACAGCCCACCGCCCCAAACTCGCCGTCGCCTCGCGCACCTCGGCGCCCTCCCTCGCCCGCGACCTGCTCAAGCTGCTCCACCTGCCCCTGGGCGCCGAGAGCAGGCAGCGCCGCGCCCTCGACGCCTTCGACGGCGGCACGGAGATCTACCCGGGGTCCAAGGTGCGGCACATGGAGGCGCTGCAGCGGCGGACGGGCGTCGCGTACGAGGACATGCTCTTCTTCGACGACGAGACGCGGAACAGGGACACGGAGACGCTGGGGGTGACGATGTACCTCGTCAGCGAGGGGGTGTCGTGGGGGACGGTCGCGGACGGGATCCAGGAGTGGAGGCGGAGGAGGGGGCACGGCGACGGTCAGCAGCAATGAATTCGAGGATTGGCATCAATAAACACACGATTTTGATTTTCACGGGGTGGTTTGACTCGATGTTAAATCTCCTTTGTCAGCGGAGCTGGTTTTTATACTAGAGGGAACTGGGAGAAAAGAATGCATGTTGGAATAAAGAATATATTTGAGATTAGACGGCAAGTAATCAGACGATTCTTGACCGCGACATGTGCGAGGTATCCGATGTTTCTATAAATCTATGCAAACTAATAATTGCTGATGGATAACGTTTGTGCATGCGTGTTTCCTCCTCTTTCCCTTTTCCCCTTTCTCTCTCCTCAGGCGAGATCAACTTCTGCAGGGGATTCCTCTGGCGCCTTGATGAAAACGTGGGTATTTGCTAATTCATGTTATGTAGAGTCGAATTTCGTGGTAGTAGGTGGGTTGGTGCTGGTTAGGGCAGCCAACCCGGCAGCTGGCGCTCGTCATATTTAGGCAGCGGTGACAATCTGGGCCTGGGGGACTTCGCTCGCAGCCTCAGCCTTCTTCTCGTCGTTGATCTTGAGCTTCTCCAAAGCCTCGCCGTTGATCACCGTCTCAACAGGCTTGGCTTCTTCCGTCTTCTCCTCAGTCTCCTTGGCGACTCCATTGGTTATCGGCTTCGTGGCGGGTGCCTCATACGACTTGGGCAAGGTGCAGATCTTCTCCTTCCTCTTCTTGCCGTCCTTGACACCCAGGCCATAGCAGGTCATGGACTTTCCATCCTCACTGTCCTCCCAGAGAAGGGGTCCACCAGGGAACGACTTGTAGCCGTCCTCCCATGTGATGACGCCGTCCCAGTGGGGGTCGGCCACGCTCAGCTCACCAAATGTGTAGTCCAGCTCGCCGCCGTACTTCTTAGGGATGTTTCGGGGCTCGATGAAACTCTCGAGGGTGGGCTTAACCTCGCTGTGGCTGAGGACGAAGATCTTGGACACGGTGATGGGGTCGAACCAGCGCTTGATCCATCCCCAGACGGTGCTGAAGAAGTAGGGTGCGCCGATGATGAAGATGCGATCCAGAGTCTCGGGGTAGTGGGCGGTGGCCAGCTGCGACGCAGCCTGCATGTGGTTCTTGAGGTTCCAGAACTGCTTGAGGCCGACACCGGAGATGTCGACAATGTTGGTGCTCATGGTGATGGGGGCCTCGGCGTGCTCGCGGTCCTTGAGCTCCGTGCACAGGGGCATGGCGAATCGGGTCAGGTTCTCGTAGAGAGCGAACAGGCGAAGCAGGTTAGGCGGCGTCTTGCCGTCCGTCTTGGCCTCGGAGAATGTGTTGTTGGCACCGTGCTTCTCGTACTCGGAGACGGTCTTGTGGTCCAGGTTCTTAACCTGGAACACGTAGAGAGGGATACCACGGCGGTCGCGTCGGCCTGTCCATTGGGGGTACTATTATTGCTTCCATTAGTCTTGCTAACCAGCGCACGAGAGGGTCACGGGGTGCACGAACAAGGCGACGGCACTGCTCGTAGGCCTCGAGGTCGATGGTGCTGTAGAGCACATCTACATCGTTGCCTTGGCGCCAATCCTCGGTGTCCTTGAACTGGCCAAAGGCATCTTCTGGCACCCACCTACGGGCGCGCAGGAAACGGCTGCAGATGGTGAAAAGCTTGTTAGCGAACAGAGTTCAAGCTCGAGAAAGAAGGCTTGGTAGCGCAGCAACAACGGGGATAACGGTAAGACAACAGCTCGGGGCGAGTCAATTGGAGCGCAATAAAATCAAACGAACGGTACGCACAGCAGGGTTGCGTCATCATGCGACGGCGGGGGGCCTGGCTTCCAGTATCCCTTCTCTTCCAGCAAGATCTTGAACTTGGCCAATGCCTCCTCCTCGGGTTCGCTCAAGGCACCGAGATGGCCGTGAGGATAGGCAAACTCGGCGCCGGCGTGTGAGGCGTGCGAGGTGTGCGATGCGACGCGCGAGACATGGGGAGGAGCCGTTGCGTTGCCGTGGGTCATGGTTGACTTGGTTTACTTGGGGCTGAGATTGAATCTGAATCTGATCGAATGGAAGGGTTTCGCCGGGAGGGTATCTAGGGTGGGGGATCGAGCAGTGGGTGATTGGCCAGCACCCAGCAGATCTCGAGATGAGGGCGAGCACGAGGGGGGCGGGGAGGGTCGTAGGGGATCTGTGCTTGACAGGACAAAGGGATCAGGAACAGAGCATCACGGACAAACGAGTAAATCAAGAGTCAGGATCAGAGGGCGCGGGGAGCAAAATAAAAAAAGAAATGGGGATCACGGGCGGTAAGCAAAGGTGGGTGGCCCATCGGAGAGGTCGGAGATTTGCGACAAGAGCGAACAGCGTCTGAGGCGCGCGAGATGCGGCTAGTGCTGCTGCTCCTGTTGCCTCTGCCGCCCGCTGCCCGTTATGATGACAAGATCGATCAGTCACAGCTCCAGCCCGTGCCTGTTGGTCGCTGGCTGATTTGACTCCGACTGACTCAATCCTGGGCCGGGGTGGAGGACGTTGCATCAGCACCTGCATCTCATCTGTCGCATTCCTCCCCCTTCAGGACGTGCAGCGTTACATACAAATTAGACGAGGATAATTATATCTCAATTAGGTACCTGTTGGCCATGATGCTGTTGGCACCATCATTCACAGGTACTTTGGCTGGGTGAAGTAAGCTCCAGGGAATGCACATACGGGGCAAGAACCATGGCCGTCTTCACATTCCAAGCGATTCGTCTAAGTCGCATTACTAATTCGCTTAGATCCTTCCAAGCACCTCATCACCAGGTAGGCTGGTACTTACTAGGCCGTGAGACAGTCGGTGTACTCCAACACGATCTGGGGTACCGTGGACAAGTGACGTAGGTTGTGAGTGAATGAGCCCAAAATAAGCTATGGTTCTAATCGGTGATTTACCCGTCATTATTCATTGACATTCCTCCAATCACTGCCGGTGTGTCTCGCTTTCCATCCATCCCGTCAATAGTGTCTACCCTGCACCTGGCCATCTGACAGCGCCAATCTCCGAATCGGCATCATCTGACCAATAATCATATGCTCAGCTAGCCACCTGAATGCTTATCAGATGACCAAGCGCTTAGATACTGTATATGATGGAAGTGGCTGAAAGATAGCTTTGTGATGTCTATTCCGAACAATCCGTGTGTCGTTCTGTCTACCACACCGAAATGAACGAGTCATGATACAAGAGGCCTCCTCTATCTAGGACAGATTATCAATCCTTTGCTCATGTTCAATTTTTAGCGAAAAGTCAATATGAGGTACGCCCTGATGGATAGAGCTAGTTGAGATGATATCAACATCTGTTCAAGAAACAGTCAGTAATCAAAGTATATCGTAGCAAGTAGTCACTAGAACTCACCATTGCACACATATGGCTCTACGTTGTCGGCCCTCAGGCCGCCAGACACCTCGAGCAGGAAGTGGTGCTTCCCCTGCCACCTCGTCTTCAGACTGCTCGCCGCCACCTTGACGCCGTCGCCCGTGAAGTTGTCCAGCATCACCACGTCGGCCCCGGCTGCGATGGCCTCGTCCGCCTCGGCCTCGCTCTGCACCTCGACCTCGACCTTGACGCTGAACCCGGCCACGGCCTTGGCGGCCCGCACGGCGTCGGTGATGCTCCCGCGGCTCCAGACGTGGTTGTCCTTGAGCATCACCATGGAGCTGAGGTCGTGCCTGTGCGCGTCGGCGCCCCCGACCAGCATGCCGTACTTCTCCACCAGGCGGAATCCGGGGGTGGTTTTGCGCGTGCCCGCGAGGATGCCGCGGTAGCCGGCGTCGCGGAGCTTGACCACCAGCTCGTGGCTGCGGGTGGCGATGCCGGAGCACCGGGCCAGCGTGTTGAGGGCCACGCGCTCGCCCAGGAGGATGCCGCGCACGGGGCCGCGGACAGTGGCCACTTTCATCTTGCCGCCGTCGTGGCTGCTCGTGGCGATGGCGTCACCATCCTGGGCGAACCACTCGACGGTGCAGCCGCACTGGGTGAAGACCTCGTCGAAGAACGGGCGGCCGGCGATGATGCCGTCCGACTTGCCCCAGAGGGTCGCGGTGCGCTCGCCCTCGCCGACCACGTAGCCGCCGTAGTCAAAGGACGGGGTGTCTTCGGCCAGCCATGCCGTGACCTGGGTCTTCCAGCTCGGGGGGAGCAGGTGGGCAGGGTCGCCCTGTGCGATGGGGATGGAGGTCATGATGGAGGGGGAGTTAGTCAAACAGTGCGGGAAGGGAGACGGAGATGGAGATAAAAATGGCAGGCTACGTGTGCGTGCACCTCATTAGCGATGGAGTGAAGGATGATATGTATGTCTGATATAGAAATAAACGCAGCGGATGTAGCACTTCTCCAACGAACTCTTTCTTGCGGATCTCGGCAGATCGCCTGGACGCTGCCGAGCTTTCCCGATTCAGGCAATGGGCACTTGATGGAGAAGCGGCAACGGTCTTGCCCCGCATAATGTGGCTCAATATTGCACTCGGATGGATGGATTGAGTCGTGATAGTGATGGTGTAAATCTTCCTTCTGGTTGAGATAGTATTTTTTTTTCCGGAATGCAGGTTTAGTGCGAGTCTCAGGACCAGCGGACGGCTCTTTTGCAAGATCTTTTTTTGAGAACGTATAATACGTGACCAACGCAAGTATAAAGCGGTCTTTACACTGACAGCCAGATCGCCAACATTGTAAGGATCTCCATTCTCTTTCAGCACCACACTTTTTGCCAGCATAACCATACCCTTTCTCTTAGCATGGCCGTACACTTGATCATATAGTTTTATCGTTCAAGATTCCAATATAGCCAAATAGTTAGCTACACCTCTTGCCAAGTGAGAAAACTGCAACTTACACATGTTTATGAAAATATCCTGAACCCTGATACTCCTGATCTGACTGTTGAGAATGATGCTGGGATATAGCATAGGAGGGGTTAAATCTTCTCCAGAAGGAAAATGACCAGCGTGAGAATCGAACTCACTTCCCAGAAGGAATACCAGATAACTGATCTGTGGTAGGGCGTGGGCCCATGAAGAACAGAGTGTTGACTCATGAAGAACAGAGCGTGGGCTCATGAAGAAGTATGAAATAAATAGGGTTGCCCCCATCATCCATAGTGACGACGACGAACTTGCGTTCGTTTCCTCTCTCCACCTTCTCTTCTTATTTTTTTTGTGGTTTGATCATGCTTTTTTTTGTGTTTTTGTGGGTTTTTTTTTTCTTCCTTTCTTCTTCTTCTGTCTCTTCTTCTTCTTCTTGTTCAAGCGAGCGGTGTCTATCATGGCCTACTGAGGGGCCGAAGGGCGGTCAAGAGACTCCAGCAAGGCCGCCATGATGTCGGCGGCGGGGGCAGTCGAAGTCTCTTCAACTGAGGCGGCGGCGGTTGTGGTGGTGGCCGTCCTGGTGGTGGTGGTGGTGGTGGTGGGAGGAGGAGGAGCTACACCAGGGTTGGCGGGAGCAGCGGCTTGGGCAAGAGACGATTCTTGCGATGATTGATCAGCCGGAGCAAACTATGATCTGGGCGTTAGTATCGTACAGAAATAGAAAAGGATCAGTGACACTTACAGCTCGCTTGCTCGCCACGCTGATGTTCACATTCCGGTTTCGAACCCGGAAGTTCACAAGCTCTCTCTGAGCCAGGCGACAGTTCTCTCGGGTATCAAACCCAAGCATGACCCAGCCTCGGTGGTTGGTGTGCCCAACGTGGTTGGCATCCTGCCAGAAGAATTGGACTGAGTCCGGGTTGCTGAGCTTGGCTCGGCAGGCTGTCTCAAAGTCTGCGCGAGAAGCTCGGAAGTGGATGCTTCTCGCAACGAGGAGTCGTTGTCTCCTTCGATATACGCCGATACGGCTCTCGAACTCGGGGTCATAATTTGGCCCTTGGTTCTGTTGGGTGGCTTGGTTTGATCGTGACATTCTGCTGGATGGGTTAGTTTATGCTGCCAGGCGGTTTGAAACACTCTACTTTGATGGAGAGAGGTCCATCCTTGATTTTCGCTTACTTGAGGTGAGGTTTGGTGTGGTGGTTTCAGGTTTTGGTTGTGTTTGTTGCAGTTGTGTTGTGATTGTGATGTGATGAAAGTTTGGTGTTTTGGTGAAATGGTGAGGACTGGCGTAGGTAGAGGAGGTGGAAGCCTGCCAGCTCACATTGGCCTCGCCCAGACGCGTAGCCAGCCCGCACTGCTCACAGCCGGCTCACCTTGCTCTCAGCTTGCCTGCATCTGAGGTCAGATGTTCCACCCACGTCCCATTGTTATGATTCTACTTCTCCTACTATCAACCTCGCACATATCCCTTCCAACTTTCCTACCAACAACAACTACTCTCCACCATCAAAATCACAACAGTAACCATAACAACAAGAACGTTTTAATATCACAACCATAACAACAACAGACATCAGCAAGAAAGTCCAAATTACCCTTAAAATGGAATCTATTGCACGCAACCAAGCCACCATGGCCCAAATCCAGCGCCTCGAGGATGCTGCTACCAATCCCTTAACCGGATCCGAATGGCCGGCCGATCACAGCAAGATTGTACAAGGCCGCCGCACCTTGCCAGTCCATGGCAATTTAGATGAGATTCTGGAAGCATACCACCAGAATCAAGTTCTCGTCTTATCTTGCGAGACTGGTTCAGGAAAGTCATCGCAGATCCCACAGATGCTTTTTTATGATGAATACGAAAGCGGTCTTCGGGTCGCCTGCACCCAGCCACGACGATTAGCCGCAACTACACTGGCCGAGCGTGTCTCAAAGGAAATGGCAGTGGTCTTGGGAGAGGAGGTTGGCTACGTCATCGGTGGCGAGAAAAAGATGGACAAAAAGATGAAGAAATCGCGTCTACTCTATATGACTGAAGACTCCCTTGTGAGGAGGCTGGGCTCTGATAACAACTTTCCCGATTTTGCATGCATCATCATTGATGAAGCACATGAGAGGACTGTGGAGGCTGACATGCTGATGGCACTGCTGAAGAAAACCTTGCGCCATCGCAAAGACCTCAAGGTACTTATTAATCTTCATTAACTCTTTGGTCTATTATATGGTATAGCTAATAAATTGGGTGGTAGCTGATTATCATGTCAGCTCCTGTGAATATAAGCAAGTTCCAGGACTACTTCAATGGGTGTCCATTGGTCCATGTTGCCGGAGTAGGTTAACCAGAGCTGGTCCAAGTAGATGGGAAGCATACTAACTTTTTTTTTGCAGCAGAATCACAAGGTCGAGATCAATTATTTGGCTCCAAGAACGGCCTGTAACGACCTCAGAGCCTTGGCCGTTAATGTGGTGGCGATGATCCACCAGAGCTATGGACCAGGAAATATCCTTGTCTTTCTTCCTGGGCAAGGCGAAATCAACCAAGTCTGCGATTTGCTCCGCAAGTATCTCAAGGATCTTGACGTCTTTGCCCTGTATTCAAAATTGTCATCCAGGAAACAGCATATGGCTCTGAATCCCGAAGGCCCAAACCGGAAATGCATTGTCTCTACCAACATTGCAGAGACTAGCCTCACTATAGACAATATTGTCTATGTTGTTGACTCGGGTTTATCAAGACAATTGGTATATAACCCTCGCCTTGACATGGATATGCTTCGGGTAGCACCAATATCCCAAGCATCTGCAAACCAACGTGCAGGCCGAGCTGGCCTCACGAAGAATGGGGTTTGCTTGCGACTCTATAGCAAGGAAGACTTCGAGCTTATGGACGCTTCAACCGAGCCTGATATCCGCCGCCGGTCATTTCAAGCAACAGCCCTGAGATTGCTCAGTATTGGTTACATGAATATTGTGGGCTTTAAATGGATGGATGCTCCTCATCCAGATTCAATCTTACGAGCTGCCCAGGACCTTCAAGACTGGTACGTATATCTCGATCTTCCTCTTAATTTCTCGTGAGACTGTTACTAATACCTTGGATATAGGGGATTCTTAAAAGACGATGGCTTTCTCACTCCATTAGGCCGGATTGCCGCGCACTTTCCGATAGATCCAATCTGGTACCGCGCCATCCACATTGGTGCTGGGCTCGGCTGTGCTTTCGATATTGTTGATATTGCGGTAGTGTGCCACTCCCAAAAGTCAATCTTTGCACATGCCCCTGAGCACCAGCGGGTAGCAGATCTGTTCAGAGCTACTGCTGCAAGATATCCATCCGACCACGTGGCTCTTGCAAACTTCTTCCACATGTTTATGGCTGAGCGTGAGAAATGCCAGCCAGACGAAGATCCCCGGTCTAAGCTCCATGACTGGTGCAAATATAACTTCCTCGACTTTGACGCATTGGAAGGGATTCGAAATACAAGGAAAAGGCTGCACAAATTCTTAGGGGCCACGGCAAAGCTCAAACCCTCAATGGCATCACAGAGAGATGTGACGAGTGTGCCTAAGGCTCTCGCAATTGCCTTCGCTCATCACGCAGCCATCTACAATGGTGGTGATGATGAATACCGAACTGTTCCTGAGAATACTTCTGGTCGCCTGTCACCAACCAGCTGCCTTGTCAACGGGAACTGGGAGTGGATTGTATATCACCGCTTTAGTGCGACTGGAACGAAAGTCTACTTTGAGATAGCTACAGCTATTGATGCTGAATGGCTGGTGGTAAGTGTTTACCCTTGATATGTACGAGCTCAGTGGCTAACAAGTCTATAGGATCTACCAAACTTCCAGGAAAACCAATTGGCATTAAAGAAGGATGGGAGCTTGCGACAACCTAAAGTCAAGAACTCCCTTGATGCCGCGAAAGCCAGAATTGCCGCTTCCACAACTATCTAATTCGCATCCTTGATATCATCCCAATGGACGGAAATCTATCATTCTACGAATTGTGGGAGCGACCCTCCACTATTTATTTCGCATCCTTAACATCATCCCAATAGACGAAAGTCAATCACTCTATGGATTATGGGGGCAACCCTATTTTTTCATATTTCTCTGCGAGCCCACGCTCCCTCCTTTGCGAGCCCACGCTCCCTCCTTTGCGAGCCCACGCTCCCTCCTTTGCGAGCCAACGCTCTCCTCCTTCATGAGTCAACGCTCTCCTCCTTCCTGAGCCAACGCTCTCCTCCTTCCTGAGCCAACGCTCCCTCCTTCATGGGCCAACGCCCTACCCCAGATCAGTTATTGGCATTCCTTCTAGGAAGTGAGTTCGATTCTCACGCTGATCATGATTTATTGTTATAGAACCTGGCGAAATCAGATACGCTGCTTCTGGATATTTATATTCATCTTGCCCCGGGATACCAAGGGAAAGGCTCGTATTTTACAAGCCGATAAATCGTTTTCCGCTAGAGTTATGGAGGGATATAAATGCAACATTAGTGAAAGAATGGTTCGTCACGTACAAGAAAGATCAAGTGATAAAACGAACCCTAGCCAGTCCAATCCTAGAAGCTTGAGGCATTAGTAACTTGGCTCTTGTAGCTGTATTTATGAGAAGAGAGACTGCCCTACATCTCCATGAGCTCTCCTCCATACTGGAGAAAAGAGTAACCGAACGAGTGGAGATGAATCAGATAAGAATGAGGCACTCAGCAATTCCAGCCATGATCAACAATGTTCAAGTGTTATGGAAGCGGTAACAAATGCAGTACCCGAACGATGGATCTGGGCCAAACTTGTTTGGGTGTCAATCTCCCTCTACAGAACATCGACGCTGACTTGTTAGCTGGCCTATCTACACCAGGTTGCCCTTATTGCCTAGGGTTGTAATAAAGCACAGGTCTGTGAGCAAGTCCCAATGGTTGACCTATGGGAGAGATACATAGAGGAGGTGTTCACAATATAATTACTCTCCTATACTATTTTTGGGCATTGATAGTAGGTATTATTAGGTAGTTTCTCACCGGAAATTGAGATCAGCTGCTAGACAATAAGGCAAAGACATCTCGAACAGCCACAATCACAGCAAGCGCAAGAGCAAAAAGTATCATAGCAAACCCAGAAATGGAAGCAAATAAACAGACAACTAAGTTCTCTTTAAGTCGTTTCCCTATATACGCCTTCAAACGCCTTTGCAATGGTTCGCCCCTGTAGAAATGTAGTAATTACCCGACCTTCCTCTACTTGCCAGTGGAGGCTAAAGGAAAATCATCAAAACCTCCCCCTTGCCGTTCCTCGCCTGTTATGTTCTGCCAGCCCGAATCCTTTCCCGCGAAAATATAAGTCCCCGTCAAAGAGTGGCAAGAAGAGGGGGAACCAGACGTCTAACCAACTAAAAAGTCCCAGATGAGAAATCCCTTTCTTGTCTTCCGTTTGTTTGGTGCGTGAACACTGTCCATCAAACGCTTCGGCGCCAGTCATAACAGCCTGGGTCCATCAGGCAGCCCACTGCTCACCTGCCCAGGTCTCCCCAGTCTTTCCTGCCCCGAGATTGATAAAAATGATTTAAAAAATTCCAGTCATAAACAGGTCGTGTGTACACAAGGCGCGTACAGTATGTCCAGGTGGTTGCCACCATATGGTAATTCGTGGCTCCAAATGCCCTCCGTTCCTGGCGGGAGGTAAAGGTTTCACCCTTCCCGTCCATATTGAAAATCCACATGTCTCCCATATAATGTGCGAACCGCGAAGCTCTCCTCTTACATCGCCGTCATTCCAAAAAGGCAAAAGATCTCCCATGTTAAAGAAATCTCCGTGTTAATTCATTATTTCTTAAAACGTATCACACAGCTGGGGTTTCAGAAGCAGTCTCACGAGCATAAAACTCGACCAGCATGGTGGCATAAGCTTCCAGGTCTTCCACTGGCACAGCTAGCCGGAAATCGTTGAGAACGAGGAACTGTAGCTCGAGATGGTTGAGCTCGGGTAGTGGGAGACCACCGACCTAGAATAGGAACAAGTCAGAACGGCGTCCAGAAAGGGGGACGCGATCGGGCACGCGGCGACTAACCTTCGCATATCTCGAGTTGGTGTAAAAAACGTCCGAGAAGAATTTACTAGAGCAGGTCACTCCAGCGATAATCAACCTATGGATATTGAAACTATCAACCACAAAATAGGTTGATGGTCCGTGGGCATTGGGTAACTCCTCCGGAAGAGGACGCCCATTATCGGGGCGGTTCGACCCCGCCGCTGACCCTTCCATCTCGTCATCTTCATCCTCGTCATCCGCAAGATCAGAGTCGGTCTCATCAGCAGCATCTGGTTCTGGGTTTTCCCGCATGGAAACATCTGTGCGGGATGTCGAGGTGGCCCGTGACTGTCCCCTTGATCTCATGGGATTCCCCTCATCACCATGGCTCACCAAGAAGTTCACGCGCTCCGTCATGCGATCAAAGTACACCAGCAAGCTCAGGAATACCTCAAACGTAGTGGGGCAGTATTTGTGAATGCGTGCAAGGTAGCTAAGAATGGTGATGGCGGGGACATTCTTGCCGTGAAAGGCGAGCACAGAATGGTTCATGGAACCAATATGGGAACCGCTCCCCCCCTCATTCGGCAGGTTGGCTTGCTGTTGATGTGACACGTTGCGTTGCATGGCATCATGCTGCAGATCGTTGGTGGAGGTGATTTTTGTGAGGAGTGCCGCAACCATCTCGATGACGTCGGCAATAGGCATGCCACTAATATCATATTTCATCTGTTGGAGAGGGGGGTCGTCCAGCAACCCAGAACCTGTGTTTCCCAGCATATTGGACTGTGCCAGCGACTTGATGTGAGCAATGTCACGGACATGGATGACGGTCTGCCTCGACGGAGCAGCCAAAGCGGGCGTGACCGCTGGGTTCGCTATCAAGAAGTCATCGGAGGCCGGCGAAGGCTGCTGCTGCTGCGATGAGGGGGGTTCGCGCGGGGCCGATGTGGAGGAAGGGTGCCCATGGCTGGTAGTAGAATCTCTTATATCGGACGCCATATGCACTTCTCTCCCATCGTGGGTTGGGTTGGGGTTGGAGACGACAGCAGGCGACGAGGACGAAGGCGGCGATGGGAGTCGCGACTCAGAGACGCCTTGCCTTGCTCGTCTCTGTGCGTCAGGCTCGGAATCAGGCACCTTGTCAGTGGTGGACCCTTGCCGCTGGGGGCGCGGGGTAGAAGACTGCCGCGAACGGCTCGTTGGGCGATAAGGTGAGGAGTCGCGAGGGTGTTGGTGTTGATGGTGGTGTTGTAGGGGAGGGTTTGCGATCATGGTATGGAAGGGCGTCGTAGGGTCGTGAGCGTAGTCGCCGATTACTGCAGCCATAGCATCGCACGCAAGCAAGCAAATCCAGAGGTGGCGGTTCGAGGGTCGTCGAGGGCAGGCGACGAGGATGATCAGATTCTAGACGATAAGAGCGATTGCGATTGGTCGCAGATGATTCAGCTGCGCTGGAAATGGGCACCGAGGGGATATTAGTTTCGAGTTAAGGGTCGTTTAGATCAAGGGTTCGAGCTCGTGACAGGAACGTCAGGAGAATGGACCGAGGAGGGGTGGGGAGCTGGCTAGACGATGCCCAAAAAGAACGAGAGAAAAAGACACGGAGCAGACGGGGCAAGATACAGAAGCGACAACAGATATCAACAAGAGGCAGGATATAAGAAATGACGGCGCATAAGACACGAACAAGGAAAGAAAAAGAGAGGCCGGCGATGTGGGAGACGGGGATGGATGGATTGCCGGATACAAGAAACGGGTGGTTGCAAAAGAACAGAAACAGGACGAGGAGTCGGCGGAATAGTGGGGGATTGGTGAGGGAAAGAGATGCAAACGGGGCGCGCGGAGGAGAGGCGTGGCGGATTGGATGGAGACGCGGGACGAGACCTGTCAGACAGAATCAGGTGCGAGTGAAATGAGTCGGGTGCCACTGGCGCAGACTCGATTCAGTGGACCACAGCGGAGGCGCAACGCTGCCGAGCAGGCGTCCAGTTGGGCTTAGCTGCGATCAGTGCATCGAGCACCGGCAGACAGCCAGCCAGTGGGGGGCTGTTGGGTTGTACCGCCGCTGTGCCACAGCACCGGCCCGTGGGTGACTCGCGATGTCGTCGAGGCGTTGGGCGGCAATGGGAGCTTGCCCATGCGCCGCCTGGTTCGAGACGACTCTGTGGGCACCGGTCAGGAAGCTGGCGATGCACAGGCTCGCAGGAGTGAGCGTCGTTCCGATGCCAGCCGAACACGCAGAGGCACCGCAGCCAGAAAAAGAAAGCAGGGCCAGGACGAGACCCTGGGAATTGCGGGCCAGGGTGCACTATTGCAGGTGATAGTCGGTGCTGGTAGCGTGCCTGGAGGCGATCGCCTCCACGATTTGCCTTGAATCGTCACGGATGCGCCACTTTTCGGCCTCAACCTCGTCAGCCACCAGCGGCAGTGCGTGTGCGTGCGTGCGAAAGTCGGAGGGGCACACGAGCGCTCGGAGCTAGAGCCTCGGCACATAGATGTGACGATCCAGTTCCATAGAGCAAACCGATGTGGCGATGATGGTTTGGCCTGCAGCAAGGCGACAGAAACCCGCCTTGCTTTTTGATGCACCACCTACAATCCATGCGATATTGCGTCGCTTGCACTGCTGTCGTTTCTCATTTTGAGTGTGGCGTCGATCTGGGACACCCAATCCCAGTTCACGTCATTCCTCTTGTGGTGGTGCGGCCCTGCCCTGCTTTTCGTGCCGGGCGCGTGCAGCGTGGGATGTTGACGTCTGAGAGCAGCGATAGCAAGCACGTGCGCTGTGACAGCAGCCCAACGGAAAAAGAAAGGGTGAATGCATTCCGTATTTGCGCGACAAAGTGCACGTCCTGACAAGGTTGGTCTTGGGTATCATCCTCCAACCCTGCAGTGACTCCTGGCGCCACCAACTTGCGCT